TTTGTTGTGTCTACTCAAAGCGTTTGCCAAAGGGGTACTGCTAATTCTAAACACTACCTTTTCTGACCATTCAGTAGTCCTGAAACCCAGCCAACTCAAGTACTCTTTCTGATCCAAGAGTCAATATGCAGCTCTAAATGTGATTTACCCATCAAACGTCTTCATTGGCATGGTCTCTTCTTTTAGATGAACTCATGATGGCACATCTGATCGAACACAGTTCCCTGAACATTGAGAGTCTTGAATTTAGGTTGTCAATAGTGATTCGGCACTTAAAGGAGTAGTTCACTTTTAAAACTTTTGCTGATAATTTACTCACTCCCATGTCATCCAAGATGTCCATGTCTTTCTTTCTTTCGAAAAGAAATTAAGGTTTTTGATGAAAACATTCCAGGATTTTTCTACACATAATGGACTTCAATGAGAACCAAGAAGTTCAAGGTCAAAATGAGTTTCAGTGCAGTTCCAAAGGGCTTTAAATGACACTAGACAATAAATAAGGGTCTTATCAAGCGGAACGAGTGGTCATTTAAAAACTAAATTAAAAAGTTTAAGTTTTATGAGCACAAATGCTCACCTTGCTCTGTTCTGTGATGAGCATTCGTGACTCTCCTGTTCGAACTCGTCCATCAAAATGAATGAATCTTTTTTTGAGTCATGACTAAAAGGGTCCTAGATAAGACCCTTAATCATTGTCTGGTGTCGTTTAAAGCCCTTTGAAGCTGAAACTGAAACCATTTGAACCTTGAACCGTTTTCTTCCCAATGAAGTCCATTATATGGAGAAAATCCTGGAATGTTTTCATCAAAAACCTTAATTTCTTTTCGACTGAAGAAAGAAAGATGGGACACATTATCAGCAAAAACATTTTTTTTGAAATCATTACGTGACTTTCTTCTACAGAACACAAAAGAAGATATTTTGAAGAATGCTTAAAATGGCCATACAATGGAAAATGTTGTTTTGGACCGCATTGACTTGCATTATACAGACAAAAATTCTAAATATATTTTTAAGAAGAAAGTCAAACAGATTTTTGAATGACATAAGTGAGAGCAAAGCTCATCATCTCTTTAACAGAGCACAAGTCTTTACCCTTGAATCATGAACCGCAAACAAATACGCATTAGTGTAGGCTTATATTTATTGGGAAAATCCAAGCATTCAGCATGGAAATGCCAATGTTGTGAGAAGCACCGATGTGAACACAAGATCTGGGATGAAGCAGGTCTAAGCAGAACAGGTACTCAAACAGGTACCTCTAAACCGTGACAGATCTATGATGAAATCTACATTGATAACTTGAGCTTAGAGTCTTTGCTCAGCTCAGTGTATTCCATCTTATCATCTGGCACCGCACTTCACAGGTTTCCTTGGCTTAACAAAACCAGACAGTCACTAGCAATAAGGTGCCCATGCACCATGGAAATTAAAGAGAACAAACAGCATAAAATCCTTTCACAGGCAATGGCCATAAGCTCGGGTGCACCGACTACAGTGATGAATAGCGCAGAAAAGGTAGAAAAATAAATACCAAGCTGCCAAGTATCTTCCGCCTGAGGGGGAGGAGGGGGAACAGTCCACACAAAATGCCTTTGAGCAAAACAGTCAATAAGAACATTGTTTGGACCCCTCTTGAGGATGTAATACTAGTGGGGCGCCCCTCACAGTATGCAGCACAGCAGCCTTTAACAAAAAAAAAAAAAAATAGCAGAAAACACTCCAAATGGCGCTCATTAGATGTGCCACTTGCTAAAAAAATATTTTTCCTTCACATATCTTTTGTTTACACAGATTACTTGCATCAGACATTAGTATGATTTCACTATGGTAATTCTAAGAGAAGTGACTTCTGAGCAGACCTTTCTCTCCGCACAATAAGTATAAATGGCTTTAATAACAGTGTGTGGAGAGTCAAACTGGGAAATTTTTATATAAAGTCAAGCATATTTATACAGCGCTTTTCACAATATAGACTGCATCACAAGCAGCTTCACAGTATCAATCTAAACATACTGTAATAACAATGTTCGTTTCTTAGTGGAAAAATATCCACTTTGGTAGAGCTGATCAAGGGTATTACTGATTGGTTAATTCATTTGAATATCCCCAACTGAGCAAACCAAAGGCAACAGCGGCAAGGAACTGAAAAACTCTATCAGTGACCTAACGGTGTCCTAAAACTCCATCAGGCGAACCAATGGAGAAAAAAAAAAAACCTTGGGAGATCCCAGGCTCAGTCGGGGCCAGTTCTCCTCTGGCGTTTATGAACTAGAGGCCGGATTTACAGTAACTGTAAGGTAAAAATGTATATGCATGTCTAAACAGACTTTAACGCGAACCTGCCACATGCGCATTAAGAATTGATTCTGTGCGTTTGAATATATGTGCGCAGGTTTGTAAATCCTTTTTTATATGCTATAAACATATCAAGAAGTACATATGCCTTTACGTTAGTTGCTTAAGAAATTCCTTGAGCTTAAAAGGTGCACTTGGTAAGTTGTTTACATTTTGCTGGCTCTCATTTAGTGGTTTTAAACTTTATGCTGACACCTATTTGTGTGGATGTATGATGTTTATACCCAAGCCGTCAATTTTATTTTGTTTGTTTTTCTCCATTTACGATATACAATCCAACGGTCATTCTTGACTAGTAGTAGTAACTGTCACTTTTTCAGCAGCCTTGGTTAAAAAGTATTTTCCCATTCCTATTTTTCCATATGAGGTTTTAAAGTGTTCGTTAAAAGGTTAAAAGTCATGAACCAAAACCAACCCGCTACGAGGTAAATCACCACATTATGAAGTTTGATTTGAAGCAAAAAAAGTATTTGAATTAGCTTGAATTAATTACTAATCCCAGTTATCCCACAAAGCATGGCGAATGACAAACAAAACAAAAAAAGGATAAATATAAAACTGATTTAAAGTTGATTTTTTGGTTTATTGCAAAATATAGAAGTAATATTTAAATAGTTTGAGAGTGCAGCCAAGGTGACTGACTATTACATCATTCACAGTGCTTCATGGGAGTGGGCGGGCGCTAAGGAGTTCTTTTGGTGTGATTTCCTTGCAAAATATTATTTTAAAAAATAAGTCGAAATAATGCTGTCTGACTGTTGAAAGCATACCATTCATGAACAAATATGTAACTCAAAGCAGGTCTATCTTTAAAGGTGTATTGTTTAAGTTATCATTAAAAATCAAATGAATGGGATTTTTACTTCTGGTGTGGTGACAAATCAGGTCCTCCTCGAAATAGGGTCTATGTTAGGACCCAAAGCAATCCCATTGGCTTAAATTGCTTTTAATATGCACTCTTTAGCGCCGGATTAAAATTCCTAAAAAAAAAAAGTCATTAATGTCTGTATTCGTTAGCTTATTTGCTAGCATAATATACAGATACCCGGTTAGCCTGATAGCTTCGTTTATCCACATGTTCGCACGTGCCCTAAATGTATTCAGTTATCTTTAATGTAATTAAGTGTTAAATTAAGTGTTACATCTCCAATTATTTATTGTAGCTTTTATTTTATAGTAGTGCTCATTTATTCACCAAACAGGCTATTATAATTTTATTTATTAACAGTTTATCAAGTGAAAAACACATTCAATTTGTTTAGTTATGGAATGTAGAGTAACCCATACATGTTTTAAATTAATATTGTTTGTGTATGCCAGGTATAACCATTAAGTGAGAGAGTCCCGATTTTGCTGGACTCACAATTTTTTTTTTATTGCATGACACAGCAGGTCATGTGATCTCAACATGGCAGCACCCATGATTGGGGACCCTCTCCATGTAGTACACATTTCAAACTTTTTTAGCCAAAGATTACTGAGTGCACTTTTAAAAGACTTTAGGGTGGTTGGGAAAAATATAATTTGCCCAAATAGTGGAATTATCGGTCAAGTGCATTTTACTTAAAATGTAACAAAAAGTCTCTACAAACAAACAACTGTCATGTAGATACTAAATGCATGCATATGAAAAATTCTTGAGGGGACAAACTCTGCCAAATCAGATTGCTAGAGTAAGCCTCTGACTATATAAAGCCTATAAAGTAAACCATGTCTCACTTTGGACTTGTCTGCAGAGAAAGAACAACAGAGCGCATCTACATATAAATTATATCATTGATCAGAGTTTCTTTCTAAACGTCATCTCCCCCGTTTATCAGTGACTCCCTGTTGGCTTCGATCAATACCTGCATTCACGCAGGAATCAGATTTCACTCTTACGTCTGTCAAGTGTTGGGCAGCCATTTGCGTGCATATGGAGCAAGTTGAGAGAACGTCCTCACTTACGTAAATGGCTGATGCATTTTCGACATCTTTTTTTTCTAATTGCACAGGCTCACCGTACACTATCCGTGTGCCCTCGGCACAGTAGAGAGAAACCCCGCTCCACCGAACAGCCCTAAAACACTCACTAAACAGCCCGTTTGAGGTGATATCATTGGAATACGAGCGTTAGATAGATTTAGATGGAGCTATGTGTGTGTGTATTGGGCTTTTTCATTGTGTCTGAGCTGCTACTGCACTACTGTAGCCACAGCCGGGAGGACGCGAGGCTTTCTCCGCCAATCTGGGTTAACCCCTAGAGACACCAGATGAAACAATGAACGCCGTTTCACACATTTAAAATGCCGCTTTGGCCAATAAACTTGTCAAAGTTGCTGGCTAAATATGACGGGCTTTTCGCTCGAAATCGCTCTTGTAATCGCCGCTCGAAGTGCGATACGCCACGGCGCAATCCCGAGCTCATTTTAATAGTATTAGCCAGCTACTTTGAACTGCTGCGTGTTCCACGCAAAATCCGCTATGCTATTGTCTGGCTTGCTCAGCAGACTCCCTCAAAGGCATTTTTAACCGTTAAGCCCATTCAATAACCGCATATGACGGTTGATTCGTGTGGCAGCTACGATTATAAACCATATCGCTCGCTAATTCCCCAATCCGATCCGATACCGGCTAGGCCGCGCGTGAATCCCCGGACTCACCTGACTCGCCTTTACCCTTCAGGTTCCTCTGGCTCCGGGTTCACTCTCCGATCCTGAAGCGCTGCTGTAGCTCTTCACGACCAGTCCCCGGCACCGGCAGGCAACACAAAAGCGCTGATTGGGCCTCGGCGAGCGCTCATCCCCTTGGTCTCTGCCCAGACAGACGGGTTATTGGTCGGCGGCTGTGTCGGAGACGCGCCCCTATTAAGGTGTATGTTGTTGTCTGTGTCTGGAGGGGAGGGGACAAGAAGCTCTGAAATGATGGGAACTAAATGGGTTGTTATGCGCGTCGTGTCGGCAGCACAAGGCGAGCTTACTACACTGACAGATAAATTGTGGACAGCCATATTAACTCCGTCTTCTTTCCGATCGACTGGAGCATTTTGAGGAACATTGTGGTGGGAAACCGCCGCGATTCCACACAACGTTTGGACATTCTTCCAGCCGTTTCCCAGAAACTTACAGACCAACAAAACAGACTGCACTTTTTCGCAATGACAGATATGAGGTTTTAGAGGCCGCATAGGTGGACTGGAGTGAATCCTACGAAATGTCATCCTGCCATTGTGTGAAGCACCAAGGGTTAGGAAATTATTTTTTAATAAATTAGGCTGTTGTTTTGATGTGGATTATTATACTATAGGCTATCTTATGCAGCCATAAATGATCATTTAATAATAATAAAAAAGCGAGTTCATGATTTTTTTTTTTAGTTTAAGCTATTTCGATGTCCATTACAATACATATTGGTTCTGTTCATCGAGGATCAAAATCATTGTAGACTGCGTTGTCTTGATAAGTGCATATTTGTAAACATATCAAATATGGTAGCCTATTTAATGTTGATTTTCATTGAAGATGTCCATTTCAGACCAGTGAAACAAATCCATTTACAATACATATTGTTAATAGATTAAATGTAATTATACATATGAAAACTAAATAAATTACATTTTATGCAAAATAGTTCCACTGAGGTTGTTTAACCTGGGGCAAACTTAATTATCTTACAAGTGCATTTTTACTTAAAATGGTGTGAAATTTATTTAACATGACATCCTGAAAATGATCATAATTTGTGCCAAAAAAAGTAGGCTAACTCTTTTTACAAACTAGCTACTAATTGCATGTGGGGGGAAAAAATAAGGGTCAAAATTATTGTAGACTGCTTTGTTTTGATGAGTGTATAATTGTAATCAAATCAAATATATAGGCTACTGTATATTCTTTGGTATTCAGGGTTGAATTTCATTGAATTTAGAACAGTGAGTGTAACGTGGCTGGCAAACAAAGAATGAAATGTCTGAAGAAACAATTATGCATGTACATTTACTACATGGACTGTCCTATGTAGCATGTCTCATGCTCAAAATATCCCAGTGCTCAAACCTGCAACCTTTTGGTGACCAGCTCTCCACAGTGCCACCACCACCACACATCCAAAAAAAAAAAAAAAAAGACAAGTTAAATTGCAATGCAATAGCCTACTTCTGTTAATTTGATAGGCAAACATTTTTTTGTCAAATTTGTCAGGAATGGAATAAAGATAATCTTACTCAGTTCTGGTGACGACTGTGGGATTTGCAGTAACAGACAGCCAATCACAATGAACATTATTAAAAATATAAATATCAGTAAAATCTTCAATAGGGTAAATGACTTATCTCTTGCAAATGCCACCTCTTAGATTCACTTTAAACCAGTCAAACCTGTATTGCTTTATAATAAATATAACAGGTACAATTAGCAATGCCTCGTACCACATATAAAATCTAATGTTTGTCAGCTAAGCAACAATATGTCGCATGACAGATTGATTTAGCAATATGTGCCACTAAAATGAAAAACATCCGGGAAAACTGACATCCATGGAGTCTCAAGCAGATTTCAGTAGCATCTGCCCAATGTTTTCTACAGCAAGATACACATATTTAATTTTCTGTGCGTGTGAGAGATCGTTTACCTTTCTTTTGCTTGCTCTCATTTATTCTTATATTAGACACTCTGATGGGGCAGTAGCACACACTGACTGAACAATACGATTCTCCTGACCTACTTACACGTGCATGCATTGTTGCAGCCCAGAATACTAAGAGTGCAACAAAGGTGTGAAACTCTGAAACTCATTGTTTCACGGAGAAAAAATAACAGTTGGTTATCGTTTGCAGGTGCATATAGGGTAAAAACCATTCCATGTGAAATCATTGTTACATGCAGCCTTTTTCTTCATCCGGGTATTGTTTACGATCACTGTTTTGATACTGTATCTCGCTCGTCATTTACTGTATGGACCGCAGCGTGTGTCCCGTCAGTCGCGCAAGGAGCAGCTCTCTCCCTAACTGGAGCTGTCTTTGTGTAAAGGCAAGGAGGATTCGTGACAAATCGCAACATTTGTCCACCATAAACCAGCAAATCGTTTTAACCGAAGCTGGGTTTGTATTGATGTTCACATTGAACTCTTTTATTGTTTGTCAACACTGAGGCTGAGACCTCTAGCGGCGGTTTGTGCTGTTTACGGCAGATTTACAACGCACGAGCCGAGTGAGTCACTGCAATGTGGAGTGAATACATTAATAACTCACTTTGTTTACACGAATTGTGTATTACGCCATGTAACATCTTAGCACTTACTCTAAAGGTTTACTTCTTTAAATACACAACAACTATGAGGAAATGCGCTGCTTAAAAAATGACCAACTTAAAGGGATAGCAGCTCACCAAAAAAAGAGCACTCTGTCCTCATTACTCACCTTAATGACTATTTTTTTTTCTGCAGAAACACAAAAGAAGATTTTTATATTTTTAAATCATTTTCTGTCCATATTCAGTCAAAGTCCATTGTTTGGACACCTTTGACCTTCAGAAAATCATACACGCTCACACAAAAAAAAACACTGGGACGATTCTCTTTAAGAAGTTTCTAATATTTTCACTTTTGTGTAGACAATGTGTTACTTTGAGCTACTAATAGGGACTCTTTACATGAAAATGTGTAGCTTTTGCCACCCCAGTGACGGCTTTTGTACCTATTTCTTCCTGAGAGGTTCGAAACAGCATGAGGGTGAGAATATGATAACAGAATGTAATTTGTTTTGGTGAACTATCCCTTTAAATTTAGAACACTTGGACATTCGTCAAGATTTTCCGGTTCTCCAAAATAGGGAAGAAAAAAAAAACATTAGTTTTCAATAGGAATTCTATGAGTCATAAGTTCAAAATAACCAAGAATCAAAGGAAGCTCCTTATCTGTGTCAACTACATACCTCTTGTAGACAAAAACACCAATATATGGATGCCTGTTTAGATATAATTCGGAACTGAAACAAAGCACAGATCGAGGGGCTTTTTGTAAAGTCTAAGAGATGTTAACCGTGTATGCTAAAAACATTTTGTCAAGCGCAACCGCATTATTTTGCTGGTTCTTTGGGGTCAGGTGATGGCTTAACTGTGATGACTTACTTCCACTGTTTTTCTCAGAACAGGTTTTATGTGTAACTCATTTCAGTGAGGAGGGCCTGTTGGATTTAAGAGTACAGATTAGTGCTAAATATTCCATGCAGTTAATCCAGCATTCCCTCCACGGATTGGCCATTTGCATCATCACCCACTAGTCCAATGAACACACTCACTTTAAGAAATATCAACAAACCGGTTTTTTTAAGGTTCAGTGACTAAAGCCATATTCCTCTCTCTCTCTCGCTCTCATGTGGTGTCATGTGATAAGTGTATGAGTGCAAAGTCACATGTTAGGTACTGTAACTTCCGATCCAGATTCACATTTAAACCTTTCAACTTAAATGCTGTTTTGCTTGATTGTTCTATCAGATTTACTGTATGTGTTTATTTGATTGTGTGGTACGTAAAAAGCCAAAGATCCTAAAATGTATGAAGCTTTAATTCCCACATGATATTTATACTAAAATGGTGTGAACTGCCTCCCTTATCAGTGAATTCACCATTTTGCACCACTGTTACTTGTGATGTTTTCTGTAATCCCACATTAGAACACATTACGAGATGGTAAGAGCTCTATGTCGGCTTCAATATGTGGTTCATTAGAGAGTCCTAAGTTCTACCCAATCTAACTGGACAAGTCAGCAGGGGGTCTGACTCTGCATTAAAGACCAAAACTGAGCTAAGCGGTTTAACTCGTGATTAAAACTCTGACTTAAAAATCACGGAGAAAACAAAAACAACTACTTCCATGATGCAGCCAGTTCCTTAAGCTTTTAAAGGAATATTCAATAAAAGTTAAGCTCAATCAACAGCACTTGCGGTATAATGTTGATTACCACGTTAACTTCCACTCCTTTCTTTAAAAGCAAAAAATAGTGAGGTGCTTCCAATGGAAGTTAATGATAAAATACTCACTACTCAAATTGTATTGGAGACATGTGTTAAAATGATTTTAATCAGAGGCTGTATCCGAAACCGAATACGTACGAAAAAGTAAGGATGTCTTCATTCAAAGTACTCATTAAGAGTGGGCGAAAAGTACCAGATGACCTACTAACCAAGTCAATACCAAGACCAGTGTGTGTTGAGACAAAGTCAAGACCAGAGTAACACTCCTCAAATTCATCTGAAAGATCCACTTTATTGAGATATGTCTTTTATTTAATCAGTAAATACTTGGGTTTGTTTTAGCTTAAATTGTACCCAGCCTTATACTCATCACAATTTAATTTTTACTAGTAAGAATTCAATTAGAGAGTTTACAATTCAATTCTCACTAGAAGCAATTATGATTATGTAATTGCAGAGCTCTTTAATTGAATTAGAGAGCTCTGCAATTGCATTCTTACTAGTACACTGTAAAAAATATTTTCAAGATTTGTTATCACATTTTTTCTTTTGTCAAATCGACTTAAACAATTTATTTAGTTCAGATAACGTATTATTTTGAGTTTCTGATGATTAAATCAATCTCCTTCATTGTTTTAACTCACTTTTTCCAGTTCAATCAACTTTAAATTTTAAGGCAACCAGGTTGCTTAATTTTTTAAGTTAAACCAACAATATTTTTTACAGTGAATTAGAGACCTCTCTAAATCAGTTTTTACTAGTAAGAATTACATTAAGAGAGCTCTGTGATTAAAAATGAATGGAAGTCGATGGAGACATACTAGTAAAAATTCATTTGTAGAGCTCCTTAATTGGAATTGTTACTAGTAAGAATTGAATTAGAGAGCTCTGCAATTGTAATTCTTACTAATTAAATTAGAGAGCTTTGTATTTTTACTAGTAAGAATTGAATTAGAGAGCTCTCTTGTAATTGTTACTTGTAATAATAAAATTGTAAAGCTCTCTTATTGAATTCTTACTATAGTAAAAATGTAATTACGACGAGTAAGGCTGCGTACAATTTAAGCTAAAACGGCTTGCCATAACTGGGGGAGTAGTTAATGGTCTTGTGTTTTGGTAATGTTTAGGTGATAACCAGACA